AATTGTAAAACAGCTCTTATCAATTCAGTTGCTCACCGCACTAGGAGAATGTGAAGCATTGAGTGCTTAGAAGATCTACCCTTATCTACAAGATCCTGGTTGAAAATGGATACCCAGAACGGTTTGTGCAGAGGAACATCCAACCAAAGTAGAAGAAAGAAAGCACTTCGATGCCAAGGAAAATTCTATACAGGAGCTGAGACTTCGCGGCCGATATCTTAGAAAGGACAGTCGCTTCTCTACAGCAACCCTAAGCTGACCAAGGCTTGTAGGTTATTTGAAGAACAAACGCCCACGTACAACTACTTCAACGTGCTCCTGTGGAGCTGAGTATTATAGGTCGTTCTATGAGCATCCTTGGAGTATGCCACCAGCACGACCAGTTTGATCAGAAGCGATACAATTACACACCTTCTCAGCAACTAACTCAATGGACTCATCGTTTACAGTCACTCACAAAGTAAACCGGAATCTGCTAAAGCAGTACGTTTCCGACTTCTTAGTACTCAGAAACCCTCGTCACATGCATCGAGCAGGTGGAGCTAGTTCAACCTCTGCATCTACCATGTATTTAGTATTGTTCAATCCCTTATTGTTTTTAACCTTCAGTAATATAATATTACCTCAACCTGTTTCTATGCACAGCCTGACCATCCCCATTTTCAGTAGAACCTACTGTACACATCGTGCAACTATTTTCCTAATCCTACATTATTTTGGTTCCTATGTCCCTTGTAATTTATATTCATCGCTCGTCATAACTGCGAACTCCCTTATCAAACTGAAGATCATTATCTCCTTTATATCCTACCATCGTTACTATATGCAGAATTAAGTAATAATTTTAAGTATGCTAATTTATGCGAAGAAACTTCCGACCATACAGTTTCTGAGAATGAAATCACCAGGAAGAAAATGTTTGCTGAACTTCTTATTTTTCTTCTTTTATGTTCTGCTGGGTATTTTCTACAATTGTTTTGATCTTCATCATATTTTCCCGACCGATAGCTGCTACGTTGACGTGGTGCTCGGGCTTGCATATCGCAATGACCCAACAAGCTACACACTGGCTGAACTATTGTTCCTGCAGGTCCTACCATGCCAGGAAGGTTGTTGGGATAGCGATTAGACTAAAAGCAGTTACCGACATTGTGTAAGAATTCTTTTTACACTATGCTGTGAACGAAGTCATACTGCTGGGGAACAGGGATGTAACAGCAGTAAGGTGTTTCCCTCAGATGACAGGCATGCCAGCTATGCTGTCTCTCTACTCCGGAGAGAGGGGGTTAGAAAAGGTCGACCCCAACAATTGTACATCCCGATTTACCCTACGGTGGTCCGTAACCGGCGGTATGTTTACTTATACAGAACCAATCCCATAAACCAGTTCATACAGGTCGTGTGTGACCAGCCTCAAGCAGTTGTCCTTTGGGCTCTGCGGTCACGGAACACTAACCTCCTTTATGTTTCAGGTACCCGCAGACTCAATCAACTTCCACGGCGTCCACAACCGGGAAGTAACAACTGCCCACACACTTCCAAAAGCACACGAAGCCTTCCTACGCATCAGTCTCTTTTACACCCACATCACCATCATCTTACTTTCCTACTAAAGTCGGTACTATTCTTCAGGCTAGTGAGTCATCTGCACTTTATTCTGTGACCACAAACAACGATGAGAGCCATAGAAATATCCCCGACAACCTCTTAAAGCCACGTCGCCAACTCCATGTGGGAGCATTTAACGTCAGGACCCTCTGCCAAATCGGACAACAGACATCACTAGCAAGAACTCTGGAATCTAGAGTCATGGATGTATGTTGTGTTTCGGAGACACGAATACAAGACCCGAGTATAGTTATTCACTTAACCTCACCCGGCCAACAAGGTGAATCTGGAAAATTCACTTTAAGGGTGTCAGGAGACCCTCAGCTAGTTCGCCAGGACTTGCAGGTGTAGGGATAGCATTGAGTGTTAGGGCAGAAAAATCACTTCTTGACTGGGTCCCAGTAGATTGTCGTATATGTGTGGTCCGTCTGAACGAGTCCGTTAGAAGGAAGAACGGTGTTACCCGTCATTGCTTTTTTGTAATCTCCGCTTGCGCTCCAACACACTGTATTTCGGATGAAATAAAGGACGATTTCTACCTGAAACTGTCCAATTTGCTGCAAAAAGTAAAACGTTCAAACACAGTTGTTTTAGCAGGGGACTTCAATGCCCAAGTAGGGAAGTTGTGCCAGACTGAGAAGTATGTGGGTAGCACGTATGGAGTTCCTTGCCGAAGAACCAACAACGGTGATCGCCTTCTACAGCTCTGCTCAGATAATCATCTATTTCTAGTCAGCACTAACTAAAGGCACAAAGAGAGACACTGTGTAACCCGGCGACCTCTATCACCAAATCAACGATGGACTCAGATAGACCACATAGGGATAAGGTATCGTTGGCGAAGGTTAGTAGAAGACTGTCGATCCTTCTGGAATACCTGCATAGACTCTGATCACGCCCTGGTTCGCGCACGTTTATGCCTACGATTAAGCGGTTATCAAAAATTGTTGGCAGCGAAGCAGCTACGTCCCCGAATAGATCGGGACTCTGGGTCCCTATTTAAGGAAGAAATAGGGAAAGGACTACCTGAGATCGATAGCAGAACTCCTGATTAAGCCTGGTGCAATATACAGTTAGCTGTAGACACAGCTGTAAATAACCTGAAACCTAAAGTTAGTAAGAGCCTTTGGATTTCTACCACCTCATCCAAACTGATTGACGCAAGAAGACTGATTCCAGCGAGCTCAGATTATGATGAGTGAAAGCTACTCAAACGCAAACTAACAAGAAGCCTTCGTAACGACCGCCAACAGTGGTGGGTGACAAAAGCGAAGAGATGGAAAAGGTATCGGAGATTGGTAACACCAGATAACTATATAGACTTATCAGGGAAACAGGTAGCAAAAGGCAAACGATAAGTGAAACAATCTCTGAGAAAAATGGCACCATAAATAGCTCCCAGGATAAACGATTAGAACGTTAGGAAGAAAACTTTGAGGAGCAGTTTAATTGGCCTGCAACCATAGTCAACTTACCGAACATCTAACACCTCCCTGAATGGGATATAGACACAGGTCCTCCGTCCCTAACTGAGGTTACTAAGGCTGTCACTAGTCTGAAACAACGCAGAGCAGCAGTGCCCGATGGAATGACTCCTGAGGTATTTAAGTATGGTGGAGACAGTTTACTGTCTGCGTTACCCGAGGTAATAGGCAGCGTCTAAGAATCAGAGAAAGTCCCGTTGGGTTGGTGTAAGTCACTGATTATCCCCATATACAAGAAGGGAGACAAGTCTTCTTGTGATAATCACAAGGGGATTAGCTTGACTAATATGGTAAACTTCTAGGCTCAATAATTATGCATAGACTAAGCGGTCCACGGGAGGAACAAACACGAGAGAACCAGGCAGGCTTTAAACCAGGAAGAGGGTGTCTTGGTCATATCTTCACCCTTCGACAGGTTCTGGAACATAAGCACATTTACCAACATCCGTTATATTTCTTGACCTGAAATCGCCATTCTATTCTGTCGACCGAGAGGTACTCTGGCGACGTTTGGCTGTACAAGGAATGCTGAGAAAATACATTGCACCGATCAAGGCACTCTACTCGAACTCATGCAGCCAACCAGGTGAGAGCTTACGGCGAGTTGTCATCTGAGCTGGTGACAACTAGTGGTGTCCGTCAGGGATGTCCACTATCCCCATTTATATTCAATTTCATCATAGATGTTACTAATGGACTTAACTCTAACTCACTTTAGAGACTCAGGCATTGACTTGCTACCAGGGAACAATCTCGTTGACTTAAAATATGCAGATGATTTAGTCCTCCCACCTGGGTGAAGACGCTGACAAAATACAGTCTTCTGAACACCTTGAGTTGCAACCTGCGAATATTTGGCATGCGATTCGCTCCCGCCAAATGTAAAATGATGCTACAGGACTGGACTACATTGACTCCTAGCTCGGAGATAGGGAGTGAAGTGTGTTGACCACTTCACTTATTTGGGAAGTTGCATCAGCCAGTCCCAAAGGGTTGATCATTGACGAAACCTCTGCACGAATACAGAAGGCTCGTTCGGCATATGCCGACTTACGCCACCACTCGCTTGGTAGACGTGATATCCGGCTGCCTATCGATCAAAGGGCGTGTGTACTACTCAGCAGTCCGCTCCGTCCTCTTTTATGGATGTGAGACCTGGCCATTGAGGGTGGAAGATATGAAAAGATTAGCTGTCTGCGTTCTATCTTCCGTGTGAAGTGGTATAATAAGGTGAGCAATATTGAGGTTAGGTGTCGAGTGCTAGGTAAAGAGGGGAAATCAGTAGACGAGGCTGTGAAGTTACATCGACTGAGATGGTTAGGACATGTGTTACACATGCCTGCCTAGCCATCGCCCTCCTCGACGGGCAATGTTAGCTGACATGGGATGGATCAGGTTGGAAAAGAGCGAGCTAATGGTGGTAAAACGAAAACACGGCTTCATCAGTCAATGAAATTCACAAAAGTTAGTTAAAGCCACGTAGGAAGGTGTAGACTTCCTGGTTGGGGTCCTCGGGACGGTAAAAACCAATGGCTGGAGACAATAGGTGAAATGGCTCAAAATCGTTTTCAATGGCGCAGATGCAACCACCCCTTGTGACTTATAATTTCCAATAAAACTATATTGTTCTTCGACATTACTATTTTTTTGACCTCATATCTCTGTTTATTGTCACTATTTTGCGTTTCTTTTTACTTTCTTCTTCTTCTTCTTCTCTGGCTTTGTGTGCTGAGTGGCGACTCGAACTGTTGCCCATCGGTGCAAAGTTCTATGTTGAGACCAGACAGACAGATTAATCACTAATTAGTACAAGTATCAGGCGAAAATCTCTCTTTACTGCATGCCGAAAAATATGCTTTATAAGCAACCCATTTTGTGTAGGAGTAGGATAAAAAAAAAGTCGAAGAAGAAATTACTAAAGTTTTATACAGACCTACCATACAGATATTAAAGGTTTGCTTTTTTTTCTTTCTTCAAATATTATCAAACAGAATATACCATCACAAAATACAATAAAAGTACACGCATCACAGTAAGTAAGTGTTGTGCGTCTAATTTATAACTTGATATATCCTAAGAACATACCATCATAGCAAAGAATAATTCAAAGTGCAAAGAATACAAAAATACAGATCATACAATAGGCAGCGAGGCTTGTTTTACTCGAAGTACAACAGGAACAGAAGTGGTCGGTAGAGTGCCTTTTTCAGTTACTACAGCTGTGACAAGTGTAGGCGGCAGAACATCATATTCCAGATGCAGCAATCTAAGCCTGTGATTTGAACGCCAATCGCTCAAATCAGTTGTAACTGACCCATTTCTGTCTACCAACCCTGTAGGACCGTAACCAGGAATGCCTACTTTGTAGTCAGATGATGTGCCTCGAGGGCCACGCCAAATATCATCAGGATCTCCAAGTTCGTTGTATTCAAATGCATCCGAATGAGCCCGTTCCCAAAATTTGTAGGTTTCAGCACAAACCATTGTTGGAGCATGCGAAATAGAAGCAGCAATATTAGCCACTTGAGCAGTTCCCATACGTCCAAGCACATAACCATTGCTAAGAAGTGCGTGGGCACCCACGATAACCAGTGATATCTAAAGTGAAAAAAAATTATTGAAACATGGAGGTTTAAAGAAGCTAATAAGCAATTAAAATGAACTAGTTATAAAGCTGAGTATTACATAACAACTAAGCTATCAGCCGCCTTTTCAATCTTCATGACTGTGAAACAGCTCTTGCAAGTGGAAGACACGAATAGCCTAGATATCTTTGGCCACATGTGTTCACCTTGCGTCTCATGTTAAGTGGCATAGTATGGTGAATAATACTGAGGGTTGGCGTAGTGTTAGGTAGTAATGGAAAGGCAGTTACTGGTGTTATGAAGCTGAGTCGATAGAGATGGCCAGGATGTGTTACGCAGACCGAGCCATTACCTTCCTCTTCGAATATCGTCAGCCAACATAGAATCAGGTTGGAACAAAATTATTATTATTCCCTTGGTCTCCGAATGGAACATACGGCTTCAGCAACATACTTCGATTCTACCCGGTTCTCTGAAGTCTATTTCAACTGGCTGCATGATTCCATATAAGCTTTCCTTTCCTTCACATACGATATCACGCTAGGACGCCCAGATCGTAGTTTTCCATACGGGTTCCACTCGATGGTCTAGTGCATGATACTACTCAATCGCTATCTCAGCGTGTTTCTCATCCATCTCAATTTTTTTGCATATTTGTCGGGTAAAAAGTTCTTGGCAGCTTCGTTTCCAGATTTCCTTCTTGACTTCCCTTCATGGCCAGCCATCTGATCTGCAGTATGGAGTCGGTGAATATATCTATTCATGAAATTCTGCGGTCCATTGTCAATAATTTTGGTGACGCACCAAGTCTATGAACCATGTGGAAACACTGGCTTGACATCGATTCTGAAGATCCTGATCTTTTGAGTTCAGTGGATTTCCACACTGATTTCAAAGTAACAAAGGTCTGCCTTACTTTTCCTATCCCGATTGGCTCTGACATCCTCATCTGCAGTTGGAACGATACTGCTTACATAAATGAAAGAGGCAACTTCTCCTAGCTGCTTGTTATTGTTGGTTGGATTTCTTCGTCACTCTTGTCTTTTCTATGTTCACTTGAAGACCTGTCTTCACTGCTTCTTACGCCAACTTGTTCATTTTTGCTTGTATATCTTCGGCTTTCTGTGACATTAGACATACATTATTCGCGTAATCCAGATACTCTAGAGTCTTCTTGTTGTTTCAACGAGGGCCGATCCTCTCGTTTCCCACGTATGGACTGTTGCATAACCTAATTCATCACAGTCAGGATCAGATCATCAGAGATAGTGATGGCAACGTTTTACTCCCTTCACTTCAAACACTTCACTGAGCTTTCTGTAGTGAATCACTCGGCATGCACTATCATCACTATGTAACAGTTGAATGAAGTTGATTTGAGAAATATGGGACACTCCGTAGTGTTGAAGTACTTTCCAAATATCTTCACAGTTAATGCTATCAAAGACGTCTTCAAAAACAATGCAGTTGAGCAAAAAGAGTTGTCTGTCATTGTATGATGATATGTAGCGTTGCACTTCGATTTGCACATGGTTTGCTTTTCTTGAACCCATCTTGTTCCGGGTGGAGTTTTGCATCTAGTGGAACGCAATTTAATATTTAGCTTGAAGTGGAGAGGAGAATCATTCCGCACCAGGTTTTGCAAAGGCACAAGTCGGCCTTCTTTGGAAGGGGTCAAATCAAAATATTGAAACAATCTTAACCTGTCGGTTTGAACCACGTGGGGAAGTGTAGCTTGCCTGGTTGAGGTCCCCCGGATGCTTAGAACCAATGGCTAGAGGAGGAAATCAACTATACCACTATACTAGGGTATTATATCATATTGCGGTCCCTGTCATACTCGTTCATATTTTAAAGTTCAAAAATATGGTTAGAGACTTCATAATCAAATTTTCATCCCTGCGATAGCTTTAACAGAAGAATATGATTACAACAACAAATATTTCATATGCATAACATGGAATGATTTGCAAACATCTTAAGTTGACAGAGATTATCGATGATGCAGAGTGGTTTACTTTGAATGCTAGTTGTGTTCATTCGGATGTGGCGGGAAAATAGCTAGCTGTAAAAAATATGGAATGTAGCCATGATTACGCACTGATTCAAGCCAAAACATTTCATATCTACCCAGGAATATGGAGGAAAGCAAAAGCAAAACATGAGAGCTGGACTAAAGTAAAGCGATGCCAAAAAACGACCTTATATGAATCAAGCAAGCATATTGTGATTATACGATTCAACTCTGCAGAAAGGATTTATGGATGAAATCCACGATTGCAGTACAAGTGCATTAATAATATATCAATAACCTAACGTCTTGTGATAGCCGGAACAAATATCCACATGAGATGTACATCAATTCCATAGAAGGATTCTGGAGGCATTTGACAAACAGAATTCAAGAAATAAATAGGTCACGAAATGACATGATGTGTGGTCATCTCCAGGAATTCATGTAGATTAATTAGTTTGAAGTAACCACTAAGAACTCCAAATGACGAACTGAGAGATATTTCTAAAAGATATTATGCATCGCTATTCTGTATAGCTATTTTGCATTACTTAATTTGTTTTCTATAAGAATTTCTGTTCAAATAACGCCATTTTACTCTGCAAGTCATGTGATTATTTGTTCAAAGTAATTTGGTTGGTCGTACGCTTGGGTCGCTATACTTTAGTCTAGCCAACACAAGATAATAGGCAATACTATCTATCATCAACAGTAAAAAACCAAAATAAAGATGAGTAGTGAAATTAAAGCACGACAACCAAAACTTTTTTTCACTATTTAAATACAAAGTGAACGTTAACCGCTGCGAATGATTTTATAGAAAACGTCTAATACAGTCTTCAAATACCGACCAAAATACCAGCGTTTTCATATACGCTTCAAGTTAGTAGTGAGAGACTGGACAGATCGTGAGCCTGCTTTCAATCGAGGTTACACTGACATACATAATATATATGATATTTTGTAACCGTCTTATGATTGGGTTCTTTACTTGTTCTACCTCACGTCTGCAATAATCTACTTATAGGTTTTTAATTACTTACTCCTTTATGACTGTGAGACCTGGCCATTGAAAGCGGAAGACATGAAAAGATTAGCTGTCTTCGTTCTATCTCCCGCGTGAAGTGGTATGATAAGGTGAGTAATATTGAGGTTAGGCGTCGAGTGCTAGGTAAAGAGGGGAAATCAGTAGACGAGGCTGTGAAGTTACATAGACTGAGATGGTTAGGACATGTGTTACACATGCCTGTCTAGTCATCGCCTTCCTCGACAGGCAATGTTAGCTGATATAGGGTCAGGCTAGAAAAGAGCTAGCGGCGGTCAAACCAAAACAGGGCACCAGTCAATGAAATCTACAACAGTTAGTCTAAGCCACGTAGGAAGGTGTAGACTTCCTGGCTGGTTGGGGTCCTCGGGACGGTAAAAACCAATGGTTGGAAACAATTGGTGACATAGCTCAAAATCGTTCTCAGTGGCACAGATGCATCCACTCCTTGTGACTTATGATTTCCAATCAAACTGTTTTGTTATTCGTTATTACTATTCCTTTGTCTCACACCTCTGTTTACTGCCTCTCTATTATGCATTTCTCCTACTTTCTTCTCTTGCTTTGTGTGCTGAGTGAAGTGTGGCGACTTGAACTGGCGCACATATGTGCAAAGTTCTATGTCGAAAACCGACTGACTAAAATACTGACTTCCTAATACAAAGTAATCACAACGAAAACGATGATTAAAGTAATACGAATACATTTGAATATAATTCAGATATTTCCTAAACTGTTCCTTGTGTGATCTCGCTAAGTGCACTAGTAGCTACTCTCCAAGCTTGAAAACATTAATTTTCAAATATTTAAGCAACAGGAATGTGATGTTCGTAGTAGACAACTTTAATGTGTAAAACTGCAGAGAAACAGGACAGAAAATCACTTACGTGACAATTTCTGAACCTCAGCTTAGATAATCATATCTTATAACCCGTCGACCACTGACATCAAATTGATGTAGGCATACATATATATGACTATCAGTTGTTGTTACAAAAGTGTCGATTCAATAGTGTTGCTCCTCCTAAATTACTTTGTTTGCACACTGACCATTTTGTGATTTAAACACCAGTACTATTAAATCTTAATTCATGCAGAAAAAAGTCACAAATCGATGTCAGTTAAGCCCAACATGAATAAATTAAAAGGGTATTTACAGAAAAAAAAGTCAAGCAGTCATTAGAATGTCATAGCATTACATGTTTGAAGCGTAATCGCGAGCTTAGTCTGTTGTGGAAACAATAGAGGACAGTAGCCTTTCTTTCAGAGGTAAGCTTCAACAAGATAATAGGTGCCAGTGTAGCGATGTTATACATCACACACTGAAAGTCAGCTTCCTGACCAGAACTATTTCGCGACTAAAATCTGTGGAGATACACATCAAGCCGTCAGCAATGAAGGGGAGCTGGTGGTGACAGCAAAGATAAAAAAGGCAGAGAACTAAAAAGAATCAAAGACGGTTCACCATAAAAACAAAGTGATAACAAACCGAGCATTTAAATACAAGTTGCGGGAACTTAGGGTTGAAATTAATTTTCTATTGAATTAGCATTCTACATTTCGTGCAGGGACCGAGATAATGTACAGACGTCCATACTGAAACTGGTTTTTATGTAATGAGTACACTCTCCAAGCCTTTGAAATGAAGTCGGGTCTTCGAGACATCAGTGCAGGGAGCTCTGCTTCCATGGTTGTCGGTGATCGAAATAGGCTTATATCTCACTTGCTATTTTTTTGTCTTGGAGGCTAAGTGTGCCAGTCGCGGCTGAAAACTGCTACCTTGTCGTAGTGGTCAGTCGTGAACACCGTAGTGACCCAACAAGCTACACTGACCAGGATTCATGTTCCTATAGGTCCTACCATGCCAGGAAGGTTGTCTGGATAGCAGTTACAGTGGGATACATGGGCTCCAGAATCCAGACAGATCGAGTGGCGTACGAACCTGTATTAGTCACCGGCAACCATAGGAAAGTAGCTCCTGACGCTGCCTTGTGGATGAGATTCCAGGTCAAAAGCTAGGTGGAGTGATCCCTAAAGACAACCATCTTCTTCGGTCTGGATGCTCTGGCAGTATCCTAGCTCTCGCACTAACAATGAAAGAACAAATAATGAGGAGAATTAATTACGCGCTGACGAACAGTGATGATATTTTTGGCAACGCGTTTCTTTTTAACCCAACTTTTATACATAGAATCTTGTTTTATTTTTACTATCCTTGGTGTCTTCACTTTCATCAGCCTCTCACTTTTGTCTGAACTCTCAGCCTATCTGTGCCATTTCGAGATGTAGGTGAGTAGTCTTCAAAATGGTGGTCCCCATTGCGATATCTAACACATATATCCTGAAACCGCATGTCGCGTTCAAGCTTGCTACCAACAGTGTTTGTACACTGATGCGAATTGGACAACAGACAGGATTGGTAAGAACAGTGGCAAGCCTCGCTATCGATATCTGCTGCATTTCGGAGACCCGTAATCAACATCTCAGTGAAGTGCTTCGAATACTTTCTCCATCTGAAAGTTTGAATAGTATGTACCACCTGCGCTTATCCGCGGACCCTGTTGGGTCGGCATCCGGCGTAGATGGTGTCGGCGTCTTATTAAGCGCAAGAGCCGAAGCTGCATGATTCGACTGGATCCCCATCAACAGTCATATATGTGTGCTATGTAACTGGAAGTTTATACGAAACTAAGGTGGGGTAGGCCAGATAAACGGTGCCTACTTGTTGTCTCTGTCAATCCACCGACGCATTGCAGCCCGGATGCAATTAAGGATGAGTTCTACTACCAGCTGAGCGATCTGTTGAAACAGGCGCGTCGGAGAGATATACCAGTGCTGGCTGGGGACTTGAATGCACAGGTTGGGCTTAGAGGAGAATCGTCTAGGTGGTCAGTGGGGTTTACGTGGTCGCAGGTTAGATAATGGGGACCGTTTTCTGCAGCTTTGCGCAGATTCCAACCTGTTTTTAGCCAGTACCAACTTCCGGCACAGCCAACGCCGTAACACTTCTCTCCCTTCTCTAATCAAGCCTGGACTCAGATTGATCATACTGCCGTCAGTGTCCGATGACGAGGATGTCTGCAGGATTGCCGATTCTTTTGGAGCACATGCCTGAACTCCGATCATGCTTAATCGTTTGCCAGGCTCGTCTTGAGATTTGGTGGGGCTCATAAACAGTGTCATCTACATGTTGATGTGAGCGAACTGGTAGCACCTGCTACCTCTTTGAGATACTAGGCTAAGTTACAATCAAAGCTTGCTATCAACTTTCTAAGCAGTATAGATGAATACTGACTGGGCGCTACGCAAACGGCAAGTAAAGTCGCTTGCCGCTTAAAACCACTGGGTTTCAGTGAGTTCTTTGCAACTCCTGGATGAAAGCCGGTTCATCCTGGCAGGTAGCGAGTATGACAAGCGAAAGGCGCCTACGCGCAAGATTAAAGTGTTTACGTAAGGACCGCAAAGCCTGGTGATCAGAGAGTGCGTGTGAGATGGAGTCGACAGCTGCATCTGACAATAGTCAGAAGCCGTTCCAGCTCATCCAAGCCACCGGCAGCACGAAACAGGGCGTCAGTGAGACAGTCTGCGAGGTAGATGGCACGTCAGTTACCAGCCTGAAAAGACACCTGGAATGCTAGGCAGAGCACTGGCGCTAGTATCCACCGTTATCAGCTACAGCGCTCTTCAGTCGGTAAATACCGACCCACTAATCGAAGTGGAGGTCCGAAAGAAACTCCAAGTGTTGAAGCATCATAAGACACCTGGCCCAGACAATCTACCCCCTCCTCTTTATAAAGATGGTGGCGAGATTCTCGTCATGGCTTTGATCGTTTTGTTCATGAAAGGATGGGAAACCGAGGATGTGCCATCAATGTGGAATGAAGTCATCATCGTCCCCATCTTTAAAAAGAGTCGACGTAACACTTGAGACAACCATGAGGGCATCGGTTTACTACTAGAATATTGGCTACTGTCTTGCTTCGCAGGCTGTGCAAAACACGTGAGGAAATGATTCGCGAGGAGCAGGCTGTGTTTCGTTCAGGCTATAGACGCATTTATCACGCGTTCACCCTTCGTCAGTTGTTGGGACAAAGTCACGCGTATTGCAGGCCAACAATCGTTGTGTTTCTTGTTATTAGGGCTGCCTTCGATTCGCTGAATAGAACTGTTTTCTGGAACTATCTATTGGAGAGAGAGAGGTTTGTTAACATCCCTAAAGCCCTATACAGGTTAGACAGGGTTGCCTAATCTCTCCATTTCTCTTTAACTTTGCCATCTATGAATTCTGGATTCAGCTCTGAAGGGCATGCGTTGTGGTGGTGTGGATCTGCTACCTGGAGAAAAACTTTTCGACCTCCGGTATGCAGACGATATCGTCTAACTAAGCGATAGCATACAGGGTGCCCAAATCGAGCTTAATCGGTTGGCGATCAGTATCTGTATGGTATATGCTTTAGGCCGTCTAAAGGCAAGGTGCTGTTACACGATTGGCAGGAGCCTGTTTGTGCCTGTAATCACTCTTGCAGGTGAACCGCTTGAAGTTGTCGATAAGTCCGTGTAGCTGAGTAGTTGCGTAAGTGCTGGCGGAGGTATGAAAGACGAGACTTCCAATCTAATCATTAAAGCTAGGGTGACACATGTCAACTTGAGCCACCTCTGATACCGTCAGCCTGTCTGTCAAAGGTCGGGTTTACAATGCTTCGGGGTGCGCTGTCTTGTTCCACGCCTACGAAACCTGACCTCTCCGAGCAGAGGATGTACGGCGACTCTGTGTATTCAATCATTGCTGTCTCCATAGAATCGCTTGTGTTCGATGGCATTATCGTGTGAGTAATTTTGAGGTCCGGCGGCGTGTTTGGACACAGTGGAAATCACCATTCATTGGGTGCTGTCATCTGGAGACAGTGGCTCCAGTGAATTGGACATGTGCTACGAATGTCACTACAGAGGCTTCCATACCGGTCTCTGTTTGCTATCCCTGGGAGAGGTGGTCGGTTCATAACGTGGCGTCGTTGGATGAAGGGAATTTTTGGTAGGTTGGCATCAGTTACTGCGTCACGACTCCCTGGTTGGGGTCCGAGAGATAGCTTGAAACGTTATCGGATATGACGAAGAACCGCAATCAATGGGTGAACGTACTGCAATTTCCTTCTCCCTTTTTTTGACAATAATTTGATTAATGCTGTTTGGCCTTGTCAAATATAAATGCTTTCTTCCCAGATAAAGTTCTTTATTCATTCTCTATCACTTTTCGCATATGTTGTTTTATTATTATTCTGTCACGCATATTTTTGGTGCCATATTGTACCAGGTACTGTTTTAAATAAACAAAATGATAATGTACCAGTGGTTTCGCATAAGTCTTCCCGAACACTTAGGTGAACCAAGTAATAACACCGGCCCGGTGAACCACTAACCGTGTGAATGCGCGGATGAGAACTGACCTAACGGAGGCTTTGAGAGCGTAGTCGCATGAAAGTATGTTAAAAGGAAGAGTAGAGTCCACAAACCGCCAATCGGAAGTCGTTTATAGGAGAATTGTCAGCATATTTCAGTAGCTTTACTTCATTTAAAGTAATAGAGGAAGGAGAAAACTAGATAAAAGCATAAGTGAAAGTAGTTTAGCTATTGAATGAAAAAGAATCTATCCACAAACCTTGATATTGAGAAGAGGTCGATATTAAAAAACACTGAAAAACTATTTACAATGGAAACGAAAGCGATGGTGGATGTTGAAACTATCTCATAGCAGACAATGTCCCCAAGAAAGAGAGGTGAGATGACCAGTGCCTACCACTTATTCACAGCTCGCCTTTCTATATATTTTATTTCACTTTAACTGGGTTGGAACAGGACTTTGAAGTACTTTAGTGCCAACTGTGAAACTTATTCGATGTGGATTTAACCTGATTGTCCTATTTTTAAGACTCATGCAATTACAATACTTGAACTTACTTCACTAACAAAATAAGTTTGCACATATATACATTAAATTTATATAAAATTAACAATAACTTTAGTAAAATATCATTATTGAAATAGGTTAAACAATAATTTGTTCATACCTTGTTAGCGACACTAGGTAATGCGCCAATGTGTGTGTACTCGCAGGGTATGCCTGCCTTAGACAATCTGTTTAGCATTCGTCTCCCTTCAAATTTGGGACGGGAATCAACAACCAAAACACTGAATACTCTGTTTGTGGTTTTACTTTTCAGATCTGGCTTACCATCTACATGACACGTTTTCATTTTGTTTGCCAATAAACCATTTACATCAGCTTGGTTGATAGATGGGTTATATGATGACTTCCATGCATTTTCCAAGACTTGGGCCACTAGAGATGAATATCCAAATGTACAAACGCATTCACCAGAGCGAATCAAGCTGACTGTACGGTCTACAATTTCTTCGCCTGCCAGAAAGATGGAACTACGTCTAAATTCATCAATAGCGGACAAAAAACTCATTTGACACTACGAATAAAGAAAAAGAAATCGATATATAATAATGAAACTTACAGGCAGAATAAAAATGAAGAGCATTAGATTCATCGGGTACAAACTCTTAACGTCAGGATACTTTCGCATACTGTGATGTGAAACATGTAAGACAGTTAACTACTTTGCTCACCTGACATGTCGCATTAGTTTCTTTGGGTTGATGGTCTAGTTGGAATCAGTGTTCCAGTTATAGCAAAGGTGAGATGCCCCACTGAGGACCAAAAAGCATGCATTCTGCAAAACTCCAACTACTTGAACACAAATGCATTGTCCATGTTAGATACAGTCTCTACACGTGCAATGCAGATGTGGCGCGAAGTCCACAAAAGGACAAGTATGTTGGCCATCAGATCTCTAGAATCCTATCAGTTGAAGTGACCAGGAGATGTGTCATCCATGCCCATTAATTTCAGAGTGCCACGTTAGTGGGGGTGGGCTTAAACTGGGAAAAAGTGAAGGGTAACCAGTCTAAAATGTGGATGGTAACAACTGATGAGGTCAGCAACTACTTGTCTGGGTTTCATAGGTTATACTGTGGTGGTGTCATACAAACAAAGTGTTCCAGCGGAACATTATTCTCACATATTCCCACAGTTTAATACAGCAGTAGCAACAGAATACTGTATATGTATTTGAACATTCTATTTCACGTCGTACAATGTAAGCCAAAATCATACGCTCAGTGATTGGTTAACGAATATAAACTGTATATATGTAAACAGCAGTTTGATCAATTGAAAATATACCTTGGCTTCGGTATCTTGCCTTCTGCTGTTACAATATAACCAAAACAGGTCGTTTTCGTGCAGACGCATTTATACTTTATTTCTATTGTAATTGTAGTATTATATATCTTCACTTGCCTTCTGTTTTCTACGAGTTTTGGCGTACTTCACAAAAGGAGATTCTATAGTTCTCACTATGATATCTCTCACTTAATGTGTAGATGATGAATGGTGAGTGCGATCGGTGAAGAAAGAGGTTTCGGAGACAACAGGTGTTTGTTAGGAAATTTAGTATTACTATTGATGGTCTAGAATACTTCCAATAATTTTGAAATTTTCGAACGGCATCCTTCTTCAGTATTCCAGTAGACTTTCTTTGCGTTTATCACGGATTTACGTCATTTCCCTTCTGATAATGCGTATTCTCGGTAGTAATTTTTTATCGGGAAACAACATTCATTTCTTGAGGTTTGCGAAGTCGCAATACAAACTCCTTGAATGCATGTAAACAACAGTATTACAAAGGTATATTAACTAAAGTCAAGTTTATTTTTCTGTATTTCGAACCAATGGCTTCCAATTTACTACTCCGGCGCTCTACCACGTAATTTACGAAACCCTCAAGACAAACATAGAAAAATGAGATAAGACTTATAGCATTGTGCCACTCCACACAAATCCTTAGCAAAAGGAGGAAGATTTATCCATGAATGAGAAGACACTGCATCACTACTAAAGCCTCAAAGCTTGAGAGTTGCGTGAAGGGAGTATGACAATAATAGAACGATCTTGTTAGCTGTATTAATAAATCTCAATCTTTCAAAGTAATGTAATTATAATTAAGTAGACGAAAATACCCTGCAACTTCGTTGAATTCACAAAAACAAATTAATTCGGGGGTGTACTGATGTAACATCATAGAATTCAGAAATAGACAAAACATATGGGAATTTACTTAGTAATAGTCATTTTATGTTTTAAGAATCTGAAGAGAACCCTAGTAACAGAACCATTAAAATGTTTCTTTTCTTACCACAAACATACCTCTTCCCAGTCTTCTACAGAATCTAAACGAGTGAGCGTCTGCTTTAAGTACTGATAAGCATTATATATTGTAACGGAGAGTGGACGACAGAGTTTGAGAAAGTTTACATGAGTCTGGAGGACTGGTCCGAAATTCCGGCAAAAGAGAGTTTCATTTGTACCAATGTGATTACTCATTTTCTCGTCACGTGACCTCAAAGTAAATGAACGCACGAGTTCTTCACAAGATGATAAAAACGCCAAACATCTTTCGTTGGATCCCCGTATTCGTCCCTCGTCAAAATCAACACCCAGAGCGAGAAAGGAAGGATGGACGGGGGAATGACTGCCTAGACTGAAGAAAAAAGGATGATAAAAGGAGAAGATCAATATTTGCAAACTGTACATAAATATAGTTGTATCGCATGATCTGGAGGGTCAATATTTTTAATACTTTTTTACGCTGCTTTTGTTATTTTAACTGCTTCAAATGTCTCAGATAAAATTAAACAATAAATTTGATTTATTTTTTATTGATTTATTTTGATTTACAAGTAGTTGGATACAAGTCTAGCAATCTGGTCCCATTTGATTTGGAACGTATCAAAATAATAGTTACCTAAACTTACTTTCAGGATGCTTGACCCACTGAGTTTCAACAAAGAACTTAGGACAGAAGCGAATCAGTTCAAGTTGCCACATTCCATGCATGGGAGAAGGAAAAGTAACATGAAAAAATATGACGACTCAGTGGATATGGGAAGTCTCTAAAGAGTGCATGCGTCTGTGTATTGAGAACAATTTTGACCGACATGTACAATAGTCTCCAGACACTGGATCTTAGCAACCGGAAAACTCAAACCAGAGAAGCTATACTTCCCTACGTGGCTCGAACTGTCAAAGATTTCTTGGGCTAGGGACATATTTCAGTTTGACCATCCCTAACTTTCCAAAACATTATCCTATATAAAGGAAGGCGGTTGCACGACATGTGTATCATAGCTATCTCAATCGATTTCCCTTCACAACCTTATCGATTTACTCACCCTCCTTAGATAACACTACAACTCTATTGTTCAAAACATTATACCACCTAGCACGGGAGATAGAACGCAGGCACATATGATCAAGGACAACTAACCGGGCTTCTCATGTCTTCCGCTTTCAATGACCACGTCTTACAGACATAAAGGATGACGGATTAAACTGCTGAGCAGTATAGGTGTCCTTTGGTCGACACCCGGATCTCACATCTACGTCAGAAAGGGGGAGTGTTGGCATATGTCAAACGAGCCGTGTTGAAATTTCGTCGGCTATCAACCCGTTGGGGTTGGTGCGACTCCCCGAATAAGTGGTCAACACGCCGTATCTATTTGATTCCTATCTTTAGGCTAGGAGTCGGTACAGTCTGGTCCCGAAGCTTTATTTTACATCTGGCAGGAGGAGCAGCACACCAGACACTCCAAGATTTCCAGTCAACGTGTTCAACAGACTCCGCAGTCTATCAGCGTCTCCACTTCAGAGGAGAATATCATTCACATACTCGGAATTGACGAGATATCATGGTAACAAGTCAATCCTTTAGTCGCTAAAGTCAATTAGGGTTGAAGAAATAATCAATACATCCTCTTCCTGGTCTAAAGCTCATTTAGTTTTCTCAGGATGCTTATTTCATAACGAATACGCTCACCACTTCTACTCTACAGAGAAATGGTAATGGTCAGCGTTTGGTAGTGAACCTAATTCTGAATCTATGTTCGGCCTAGAAAAAAGTTGAAATATTGATCTCCAGTGAGAGATGCACACGAACTCCAGAGTTTTGAAGGTCTTATTACTTATTATTATGTAATGATAGAAGTATACGAATAATTAATACTAATTCTCCTCTAACGGTGACGTTCGCTGGTTGCAGTGTAATTCCGTTCTTTTCTTCATGTCCAACTCTAAGTATTGTAAGCGAAACTGACATACTTGTGTGAAATGTAGACAAAAATACAACTGTTTGGTCTTGATATCTAGTTTTATCGCGACAACAGTTGGTGAACTAAGAAATGGGACATACATGTTGTGTTCTCAATATGGCTGTGGTTCTCGCTCCCTGACATTTTTAAGTCACAAACACCGAATGATTTTGAACAAAAGTGCTGACTTTTTTGATATGCCTGACTTCCAAAGTATTTAAATTCCAAGGGAAAATATACAAACTAACTGAGGGAGTCGTCATGGGGTCACCAATATCCCCGACTGTGACAGATATATTCATGGATAAGTGAGGAAACTCAGAGATTGAAACATTCAGCCACGCCCCAAAAGTATGGTGGAGGTATGTAGATGACATTCACTGTACTGAGAACACAGGATACAGATAGATTTTTCGAACACATTGACTCAAAGGTGGAGGCAATTCAATTCACTTATGAATTGGAAAATCAGGAAGGGAAGCTTCCAATGTTAGATTGTAGCGTAAAAAGGGAAGAAGATGGGAAGTTAAACACTAGTGTTTACAGGAAACCCACACATTGAAACCGATAATTGGATTTCGGATCATCCCACCTTGTCAGTAGAAAACTAAATAGTACTAAGGAAAATCTAAGACAGGAAGTAAGACATATACGACAAACTTTACAACTTAACAATCACTCTGATGAATTAATCAGGAAGTAAGTAGGAAAATGTAAAAATAAAATAATAATAACGGTAGTGGTAATAATATTAATGACGACATATTTGTCAAACATGCACTGAATGATGACAACAACAATAGGGAATTTAAATCATTAATAGTAATTCCATACAAGGAAGGGACCTCGGAAACCTTACGGAGAATTCCTAACAATGCAGTAAAAGTAGCATTCGGGATCGAATTCTAAGCACGTATTCCCGAAGGATGCAAACACTAGTACATATTGCTTACTTTAAATCCTAGTTAACCGTTTTGTATAAAATATGTGCGTTTTACTCATAGATATTTAATTATGAAGGCTAGCGAATAAGTGGACTTACATACCCAATGTGGCCGATGACATCTATACGCTTATCTGGTTGGTCAAGATGCTTAAAGAGATGAACCCGGCAAGATTCTTGAGTTCTTGATGTCGGGAGTTCAGCAATTTTTCTACCTGAGTAATCGAAACAAGTGTTATGCTCTAAATTCGAAAATAAGTGAGCATTGTACTGATCATACTTTTTTCCTCGCATAGTGCTTTTGTACCTGTGACTTCAGGCTTTTTTTCAGACTTGGCTGTGACGTCTGCACACTTGACCTTTAGTTCACCTAATATTTAATAGTTTACGAGTTATTAACCAGTACTTTCTTTCCCACTATGTGGTCCAAGCTCACAAGCATTAGCATTTTGTTTGACTTTTGGTTTTTCAACACTCTTAGAAGCAGCTTTCGCAGCTCTTTGTGCTTCCTAGGACTATAATTAAACGTCTTGGCCGCTTACTTGAATAGCTCTTCGCTCAGCCCTTAGTTGTGCCTTGGACTTACTGCCCTCAACCTTACACTCTGATCCATCCATCGGGTAGCGCAAACTATCGTAAAATCCGTCAAGTTTCAGCACATCGAATGTCCAACATATGTTAGGTCCTTTTCTGAGAGATTTCATCCTACAGTCGTAATAATTATGCAGGCCATGATAAGAAGCGCCGACCCGAATGAGTGACCGACAAAATGCCATGGGAGCAATCAATCCAATATCCAATATCGTTCTCACGAATCAAGGTAATTCAAGTAATGCAAAGGGCATATTCGTGTTAAAAGTTTACAAAGCTATAATAATATTAGAAAAAGGCTCCCTGACTTGCCACTTTTCAAGATTAAATTTCACATTCCTGTAGAGAAGTTGGTAGTTATTTAGACTCAAATCAAACTTGATATGATTATGAGCAATAATTTGTGCTCGAAACGTCATCAGTTAATATTACTGTGTAACACTGTGTGATTTATCAAAATAAAATCTTATCCATAATGGAGTTGCACTCTACCACACTGACCAAGTTTTATACTCTTATGAAATTAAACGTCACGTACAAGGTCATTGGTGGAGTGAGACGCTCAAAGGTCATTTTCGTCCATGTTAGTCGGCCGTGTTGGATTGCAGTTCCGTGGCAGTTCGTTTACACATTAGTTTTTCCGTTAATCCTGCAGTTATTCACAACTTATCTTGATGAACATTGTTCACAAAAGTTGCGTTTCACTTCATTATTGTTTCCGTTTCTGTTAAAATTAGTTATTTCGTTTGTTTCGAAAGCTTTTACCACCAGGTCAGTACATTCATTTCATAGTAATTGTTTCATACGTTGCATTCATGCATGGTTTCAGGGTTTTAGTTGTTTTTCAGCTATTAATGAATTAAAGTACTGTGTAGAAGTTTTCGGAAATTATGCACATAAACATGTATGGGTGGCAGAAACAACAGCTTAAGCTGTTCACTCGTTGGTTGCGGTTGTTGCTGGCTCAGTTGCTTACTTAACATTTAGAAATCTGGAAAAAAATGTCTTTCACGTTTAACAGCATGCAACAATCTACGAGTGAATCTGGTGAAGAGAGCACGGTCTGTGGCGACCTGAAAACATATCAAATTATATGTTCACGGAAAAAAGAAGGAATTCAACCTGAAACCTTGAACCGCGCGCAAGGAACGAATCGTTCGCCCTCTCTCCGGCTGCTCGCCCAGCACATCTGCTGACCAACGCTGTCTCGCACTGGTTGACACATCCCCTTCGAGAACTTCGCTCCTATCTGCCTTACTCTACGTGGAGACTTCCGACGGTTGACAGCGCTAAGTTGTAGTGGAGAATTTGTATAATCAAGAGAAGGACAATTACATTCCTATAATTTCGTACGTCTATAATTTGTGTATTTTGTGACTGTTATAGTTTTCTTCAAATAAACTCAGTCCCTTTTTTGTGTATATTAACTTAAGTGAACCGAATATTTTATATATACGTATTTGTTAGTACTTGTTCTCTCCTTTTAATTGCGTTTATATACTTACCTAGCTACTAGGTCCACTACACTTAATTGGTGAGCCCGTTTTGGAACACGGATTGTTTCACGTATCTTTATACTTATTTTTGCTATTTTGTACTTTCATTGCAATTTTTTGTCGGTGGTCTCATATTTGTATTCCCCTTTGTACCAATATTCTCACACCTATAATGTCGTCCCATACTCAGCCCGGTATATCAACTGAACAGAGTTCGGGCAGCGAGGCACAGGCCACAATAAATGCCATATCTGATTTTCGGCTACCACAATACGGCTTTGCAGAGCCACGAATTTGGTTTGGAGTTGTCGAGCCGTTGTTGGAAGCACGGGGTATTAAATCTCAGATAGCCAAATATGGCGTCGTGCTGGCAGAACTTCCCCCGTCAGTATTAACGGAAATCAGTGATTTCATCGAAAACCCCCCTACGGAAAACCAATATGAAAAACTTAAAGCTCTCCTTATACAACGGACCAGTTTGTCAGACGAGAAAAGGATCCAACAATTACTCACAGGCTGCGAGCTAGGAGCGCGTAAACCATCCCAGCTCCTTAGACATATGCGCCAGTTAATAGGAAACCATAAAGTTGATGAGGTTGTGCTGAGACAAATGTGGTTGCAACGTTTACCCAGAAACGTTCAACAAATCTTAATCATTTCGGGAAAGTCGTATGATTTAGACTCACTAAGCGAAATGGCAGATAGTATTGTAGATGTTTTATCAGACAACACCATAGGTCAGATTGCATCTGACAGTGCAACACCATCTCAGTCCACACCTACGGCAGACACACCAATACTCGCCGCCATTGCAGACTTAGCGGCAAGGATTGACAAGTTGGAAACAAATAGATCTGGTCGACGAGTCCAGAGGTGGAGTTCACGAGCAAGGTCACCATCACATAGACGATCTCTCTCCCGACAGCGTTCCCGCATGTCTTCTAGGGACAGCAATATATGTTGGTATCATAGGAAGTTTGGACGTCATGCTCTGAAATGTGTGAAACCGTGCATCTTTAGTGAAGAGAATCAGGCTCAGGGAAACTCCCCAGCCAGACAGTGATGGCGACAGCTGTTACTGGCAACCATTCAAGTCGCCTTTTCTACGTGAAGGACAAAATCACAGGCACATTATTCCTGGTAGACACAGGAGCCGAAGTTAGTGTAATACCTCCTTCACTCTCCAGGCGATCTTCTAGTACAGCCGCAAAACTCTCACTTCGAGCAGCTAACCAAACTAGCATACGGACTTACGGCGAACAATCACTTATTTTGGATCTTGGTTTACGTCGTCGATTTACATGGATATTCATAGTAGCTGACGTTAGTCATGCCATATTGGGTGCCGATTTTTTAAGCAATTTCAATCTGCTGGTTGATGTCAACAAGAAAAAGCTGATTGATAACTGCACCCAGCTTCAAGTCCACGGAATCATCTCAAACTACTCTGTTTATAACATATGCATCGAGAAGCCAGATGACTGCATGTTCTCTGCGTTACTGCATCGTTTCCCAAAAATTTTAAAGCCATCTTATAATATCGAAGATGTTCCTCATTCTGTCACGCATAAAATTGTCACAACTGGTCAACCCGTCAGAGCACGTCCTCGTCGACTACCACCTGACAAGTTAGCAGCAGCCAAAGCTGAATTCGAACACATGATGCAATTGGGCATCATCCGGCCATCCAACAGTCCCTGGTCCTCACCATTACATATGGTACCAAAAGCTGATCATGATTGGCGACCGTGTGGGGATTACCGACGTTTGAATAACGCCACTGTCCCAGATCGTTATCCCATTCCGCACTTGCATGATTTCTCTCTAACACTGCAAGGTAAAACTATTTTCTCCAAAGTGGATTTAGTCAGAGCTTATCACCAGATACCAGTCGCTCCTGAGGACATCGAGAAGACAGCTATTATAACACCTTTTGGCTTGTTTGAATTCCTACGAATGCCTTTCGGGCTGAAAAACGCTGCACAAACTTTTCAGCGCTTCATGGATCAAGTCACGCGGGGCCTTGACTTTGTATTCGTTTATATCGACGACGTACTAATTGCTAGCAAGTCGGAAGAGGAACATAAGACTCATCTTAGCACTTTGTTTCAGCGTTTCGAACAGTATGGTGTCGCTATAAATCCTAAGAAGTGCATTTTCGGTGCCTCTTCTATTCAATTTCTGGGACACTACATAACTGCCGAGGGAATCAGGCCTACTGAGGAAAAGATAGATACAATCAAAAACTTTCCCCAACCAGACTCTTTGAAGAAAGTCCGACAATTTTTGGGGATGTTTAATTTCTATCGACGTTTTATTCCTTCGTGTGCCTCTATCGTCCAACCTTTAACCGATCTCCTTAAAAGTGATCCTAAAAAATTTCAATGGTCAGAGCAAGCACATGAATCTTTCTGCAACGCGAAAGACGCTTTATCTAAAGTCGCTATGTTATCTCACATCAACCCCGACGCATTCCTTATCTTGTGTACAGATGCCTCCCAAGTAGCTGTGGGCGCGGTGTTACAGCAGAAAATTAATGGTGACGTTACTCCACTTGCTTTCTTTTCGAAGAGGTTAGAACCGGCTCAGACACGTTACAGTACTTTTGGGAGAGAATTGTTGGCTATATACCTAGCAGTCAAACACTTCAGTTACTTACTACAGGGTCGTCATTTCACTATTTTTACTGACCACAAACCTCTGTGCTATGCTTTCACCACTTCGCTGGATAAACACTCCCCAAGAGAAGCCAGACAGTTAGACTATATCTCCCAATTTTCAACTGACATACAATACATCAAAGGGGACGCAAACGTGGTAGCTGATTCTCTTTCAAGAGGTGATATACACCAGCTTGAAACTTCCGTAGACGTCAGTCTTGACCGGATGGCTCAGTTACAAAGAAACGACTCAGAACTTCGAAAGTGTCGCGAAAACTCTTCCTTACAGCTCAGGGACGTACCTATTCTCTTATCAGATGCCACTATAGTTTGTGATGTCTCTACCGGCACTAATCGTCCGTTTGTTCCTCTCCAATGCCGAAGAGCTTTATTTGACCACTTACATTCGCTCTCTCACCCTGGAGTACGTGCCACCGTCAGACTCATCAGCGAACGTTTCGTGTGGCCTAAAATGAACTCTGACATTCGGAGATGGGCACGAGAATGTCTCCAATGCCAACGCTCCAAAGTACATCGCCACACTATCACAACGCCAAAAACGTTCGATTTACCGGACAGGAGATTTCAGCACGTTCATATAGATATCGTAGGACCATTGCCAACGTCAAGAGGATATACACATATCCTGACAGCCATTGATAGATTTACTCGTTGGGCTATTGCATGCCCCCTGAACGATATATCGGCCGAAAATGTTGCTTTGGTTTTCCTCGACCGCTGGGTGTCAAATTACGGTGTACCAACTACGATTACATCCGATCGAGGTGCTCAATTCCAATCGACGCTGTTTCGTGAACTGACGAGACTCCTGGGAGTTAAACATATCTCCACAACAGCCTACCATCCGGCAGCGAATGGTCTTGTGGAAAGATTTCACAGACAACTGAAAAGCTCCCTGATGGCACAGAGTGATGCATCTAAATGGAGTGAATACTTACCTCTGATTTTACTTAGCATACGATCAACTGTTAAAGAGGACCTTGGTTGTACACCCGCACAACTAGTTTACGGCACTACCTTAACACTGCCAGGACAGCTAGTATCCTCTCATGACTCTCAAAATGTGAATATTTCTGAGTTTTCTGATCAACTGACCAGACGAATGTCACAACTTCAACCAATAGCTCCGAGACAATGTCCCCGCAGAGAAAACCTAAGTAGCCATCTACAAACCTGTAAATTTGTCTTTATACGGATCGACAACGTCAGGAAAGGGCTACAACCTCCATATGAAGGCCCATACCCAGTAGTGCATCGCGCGGAAAAATATTTCACAGTGAGCAAAGA